TCTGAACAACCCACGTGAATGTTATAATTAACTAAAGATTGAGGTGTTACATGAATTTTGTTGTGCAACCTCACAATCGCATGAAGAAAAAGGAACAAGAGCAGTGTACTCATCCCATAAAAGTTTGAGACGAGTAAAATAAACTGAAATAAACGAATCACCTTAAACAAGAGTGGCAATCGACCGATGTAAGAAAAAAACCCTAGATCCGTCAATTTTATCGAACCGTTCTTTGAGATCTTTCCAAACAACTTCTGCATTCGAAGCAAATACAATGTCAGGAGAGAGATCCTGACTCAAAGAATTCAGAATCCACGAAAGAACAAAAGCATTGTATTGCTCCCATTTAGATTGCAATAAACCGTCATAATCTTCCCTTCGACAACTTCCATCCCCAAAGCCGAGATTATTCTTGGCCAAGAGTGCGATACGTATGGATCTGCTCCACACATTATTGTTTTCGAAGTCGGTGAGCTGATGTGATACTAAATGAACTCCTGGCGTATATGAGGGATGCAAAAAAAGATGATGATTGGAATCAATTGTAAGAGCCATGAGCACAGGCCAAGAGAAAAATAGAGAAAGAGGGAAAAACAAAAAAGAAACGATAGAAAAGTTTTGGAACAAATGAAAAACTTGGAACTGATTGCAAAATGAAAAACAGGCCAATGAAGAAGCCCAAAAGGAAATACGGGCTGAGGAAACTCTAGTCTAATACCATGTTAAAATCAGATGAAAAAAATACCTCATATTATATATTTTTAGAATAGAAACTACACATATATAATTCTAATCTAACTAACTAACTTCTAGTTAGTTACAAGTAAAACAGAAAAAATAACAAACTTTTAACTTCTAACATTTATGATTGTTGTTTTCTCTCTTTTTGAATCTAAAATGGCCTTCTCTCTCGTTTTTGTTTTGTTCTAAATCTCCATGCTCTCGCTCTTGTTTTTTTTTTCTGAAAAAATGAGTTCCCGAGAATGTTTTTTTCGATTCCAAAAGTCCTTTTTTTATGATTCTCTCATACTCCTCCCTTTTTCTTCATTGCATGTGAGGCTTTCATATAGAGGGCCTCGTGAGGATCCTTCCAAGGAGGAGAATCAAGGTCTTATCTCCTGCGTGTGAGCAATTTTAGCCATTTTGCAAAGAATAACATTGAGACTAGGGGACCAGTGGTCCCGATCCAAGATGGCGATGGGAGCTTCGATGGCGTGGAAGAGCATTTTCACTTGGAGATGCATCCGTTGAGACCTTGGCCGATGCCCAACTTGGATAGCTGGTGATGTGGTTGCCACATCGGAAGCTTCTGGAAGTTCCAAGAAATATGTGGTGCTTTCCAAATCCAGCTGCTAGGGTTTGTCACCCTCTATGTTGGGCTTTAGTTGATTTTAGGGTTGTAACATATTTGATTTTTTTTTAATTTGGATCTACACACATAAGTAAATAAATATTATTATTATCTTTTGTTTAATAATTGGTACTAACTGAAATTCAAATATAATATATATATATATATATATATCAATAAATAATATAGTTAAAAATTGAAACACGATTAAAATATTAAATTCTAACCCATATATCTATTTTAATTTAATTATGGCAAATAACCAAACACATATATAGTAATTACTACATGCAATTAGTAACTAAACATATATACACATACTTAATTACTATAGATAATGAACTTTAAAAGAATAAGATTTGAAATAAAAAAACTAATTAATATAAATAATTAAAATGATGACAAATAATAAAATATTAAATTAAAGTTAAAAATTAGAACTCTGACAAAATATAGTGTATTATGGAATATAGGAACACTTAAACTTAAGTGAATTAAGGAATATAAGAACACTTAAACTATTAAAACAAATCTAATAGCTTATTTATAATTGAATACCTTATATATATATATATATTATATATATATATATATATATATATATATTTAAAGAAAACGGGCATCGTTGAAAACCTCTCCACCCAATACCAAAGTGTTAGTCCTACGAGGGGAAAATGGTGTCAAAGCAAGATTGAATTAAGTAAATCGTACATCGTTTAAAACTTCTGAAGAGATAATCCCGAGGACTACCTATTGATATTAGTAATGACATTCTATTGTTGTTTTGATTTTCTAGATGACATGTATATGTGTGTAAGTGTTAGTAATATTTTTATATGACTAGATTTAATTTGGTCAGAAATGATATGATATATATATATATATGAAGTTTAAATGATTTATAATAGTTTATATGTGTCAATGTCGTAAGTAAAAATGGTTATGAACATAGATTTTAGTTTTATATTTTGATAAAGTGATATTTTAATAGCATAAAGATTGATTTCTATTTAGGAAATTTCTAGGCAGTTTCACATAGAATATGATACAGTATTGAACTTTCATATTGGTGTCTGAAATTAGATTTGAGTTAGATGTTTAAAATATTATATTTTGATTTTATGCGATTAAATATTTTTCATGATTGATGTTAAATTTGATGATTTTAAAATAAATGAATTTTTATCGATTTTTTAATAAAAAATGTTTTACAAGTATTATGTGTTATCTCCGACCCGTATTCGGTAGCGAATACGAAAAAAGGGTGTTACAAAGCTCACCCAAGAACAAGCTTCTCTTTGCCGTTACCTTTAGAGCTGTCTCCCACATCTTTCACTCATTAAAAAATAAAGAATGAGTTACTAACTTGCTTATGAACCCAAAAGCAAGATAAAGAGACTTCTTAAGGTCTAACTCCACTCTAAAACAGGATGATTCCACCAAGGTTTCTATAAAATCTCTAAACCACCAAGCTTAAAAACTGGTGATGATTTCTCTTCTTATCTTTAAATTTTCGGATTAGGAATACAAGTGACTAAAGTTCTCCGCTTTAGATTTCCAATTTGAAAGGAAAAAAAGAAAGATGTAGGAGAGCAGAAGACAAAGTAATGGAGAAAATAAAGAAAAGAAGGGTGCAGTGTTGGTCATTTCCTTCTCAACTATGACCTCATCCATAATAAAAGAAAATCAGCCTTTGAATCAATAAAGAGGAAATTACTTTTCACGCCCCTCATCATTTGCTCCCAAATTAAAAGTGTCATCTTTAAGCCTGAATAGGCTCAAGCCCAAAACAACCTAAACTCATCTAAACTCAAAACTTCTAAATGGTCACTTAGATTATCTAAAACCCATGCGGATTCACCCAAAACTATTCATTCGAAAATCGAGGTGTTGTATTTGTGGTCTTTTGGTGTTCGCATAGAGACCCTCGTGACATGTTTTTGATTAGTTTGACGGTTATTAAGTATCATCAGATCTCCTTTTAGGTAAACGTTTGTTTGTTGATATAATCAGAATTGTGTAGTGAAGCAACCTAACAGATAATTTGGTTCGCTCCTCACTTTTTATCACTTTATACAGTGTCTTGTTTGACCTAGATAAAAAGCTTTTATGAAGGTTATTGGTTTCTTTTTATGTTGGTGTCATTTTCAAGGAAAGGTTTTTCATTTTTTTCGCATATTTAAATTTAATATTTTTTATTTTTATACGAGTTTTTTGTGTGACTTTAGTCCCATTTTCCTCTCAATGTTTGGGTGCATTGTAATTATGATTCTTTCATTTGTTTGTATTAGTGAAATCTAGTTGTCATTTTTCAAAAAAAAAAAAACTTTTATACAAAAATAAATTAAATGAAAAATATATAAAAAAATTAAAAGAGTTAATTATATCATATATCCCTAAATTATAACCCTTATTTTAAATTGATTCTTAAACTTATAAATATTCTAATTTCATCCCCAAAATATGACCTTTATTATAAATTAGTCTTTAAACTTTTGAACATTCTAATTTTATCTCCAAACAAAGACCCTCTTTCTAAATTAGTCCCCAAACTTTTTTATATTCCATTTTCATATCTAATTTCATCCAAACATAATTAGTTTCAATCAAAATTTAACCTAAATTTCGTGTTTTCAATCATATAATAATATAACTTGGCCTAAAGATTTTATTAACAAAGTATGTGATTAAAATATACATATAGTATGGGATGAAATTGAAATGTTCTAAAAGTTTGAGAATCAATTTAGAATGAAGGTCATAATTTGGGATGAAATTAAACTATTCAAAGTCTAAGAATTAATTTAGAATGATAATCATAGTTTAAGGATAAAATTAGAATTTTTAAATGTTTAAAGATCAATTTAAAATAAATATCAAACTTTAAGGACATGTGATACAATTAACTTAATCTAAAATAAGAGAGCACAAATAGATAGAGGTATTCAAAATTAACCGATTAAGCTAACCAAATCGATTTTTTTTGATTAATTGATTAGCTAACTTTAATTTCAATCGATTGACGGTTAATATTTTTTTTAAAGTTTAGTTATCGGTTAATTCGGTTCGAAATAAGTTAATTAACTGAACTAACCTAATTAATTGAAATTTTTAAATATTATTTATATATTAATAGTTTTAGGAGTGTTTAAATTTCGGTTTTAACTGAATTAACCGACCAAATTAATCAATTAATCAAAAATATTAAATATTAAATATATAATATATATTATTTAAAATTTTAATTAATTCAGTTAATCGATCAATTAACTAAACTTTGTTCCGTTCGACGATTAATTATTTTTAAAAATATTTCAATTTAACTAATAGTTAAAACGAAAAAGTAATTTAAGTAATAAAATTTAAAAAATTTGATTCGGTCCGTTAACCGAAGAGACCGATTAAACACTCGTACAAATAGAGAGAAAGAGGAAAGTACATGGGCGTTCATTCATAGCATAGCTCATATAATAATTAATTGAGTTTTTAATCATAAATCTAAAGAAAACGACGTCGTCTTGCTTAGCCATTTATCGTTATCTTCTTTCCTCCGATATATATCAGAAGTCCCATTTTCCGCCTCTGCAACAAATACGCATAATTTAAAACCCTAATTCTCTCTTATAGCTTCTTTGGTTTTATCGGGTAACAAGCATATTCCTCTGATCTTCAATTGCCTTAAAGTTTCAACGAATTCTAAACAGTAATTTCATCTCATCATAGAATTTTAAATCTAATCTCTTATCTTTGTCTATTCAAAATTTTCTTTTGAAATTTTTATTTTGGGGAGAAAGGGGAGACAAATGGTGGGAGGAGGAAGCAGGTGGGACGAAGGATCTGTGGTGATAACTAGCACAAACGTGTTTGCGGCTCTCGAAACTCTCAGAAAGAAGAAGAAATCTGACAAGGACCGACGTTCTAGAAAATCTTCTTCCAAGTCTCAGCAACAGAAGTCTCAACAAGAACCAGAGTCGCAGGTCTTTTGGACTCCGGCACCTCTCACAGTCAAGTCTTGGGCGGATGTCGACGACGAAGACGATGATGATTTTTATGCCATGACCGCTCTGCCTCAGTCCGTCTGGGGGACCTCTGAACCTTCTCAAAATCATGAAGAAAAAACAGCTAGCGTAGAGGTGAATAGACTTACTGGTTAAACGATCATTTGTCTTTTTTCTTCTAAATTCATTGGTGTAATTTGTTTTAAAAATATGTATATTTTTTGAAGTTAGGGTTGGATTTTTTTTGTTATTATTCAAATGATTGTGCATGATTATGTGATTAGAAATTATGCCATGGAAGTTTTACAAGGAAGTGGTTGGCTAGATGAAACTTACGCATAGTTTTTATGGGATTTGGTTTGAGGTGGAGATACTGATTTGGGTTTTCCTACAAACCCTAGATTGGATATACCGTTTTCTACCTGATCTCAATTTTGAGTGCAAGTTTAGAATTATTTGGGTCTAAATTCTTCATTATTTAGTATTTGTAGTGTTAGCATTGACACTTGAGAATGCCTATATTATGCCTCATTCATGTTGATAGAAAAATGTTTTTGGTAGAATTTTTTTGAAAAGGTTGTAGCATGAGTCTCTAGATGGTGATATCCTGCCATTTATATTTATGGGAACTCCATACACTTCCAAGGAACTGGTTAAATACTAAAGAGGCCAAGTTCTTAGCTTTCGAGAAGGTTCTAATTAAAATTTGTTATATATTCTATTCATAGCTTTTGTCGCCTGCAGTAGTGTGCAACTTCATGTTGATGTGGATAAATTTTACACTTTGAATTTTAATTATCCTGATTGCTGCACTATGAAAGTTACTACCATCATTGCTATTAATCAAGGAACCATGCTCTGAAAAAAATGGTAAAAGAACCTAAGAAACTTATATGTATATTGGTTCTCTATGGATGAATTGTTTTGTTATCCTTGTCATAATGATATCATAGAGATCAATGGTGGTGTTTCTTGGTTTCACTTTGCCTTTATATTTATTTGAGTTCAGTTTAAAATCCATTATTAGTACTATAGGGTTTCCAGCTGTTGAGGGTCACGCACACTGTTGTAAGCTTGTATAATCTAGAATCTAGACGTTTTTGTTTTGGTGATCTTTTTCCACAAGATTATGATCCATTTTCTTGCTCCTGCATGTATCTTGTAGGGTGGATTTAAATTCATCGTTGTTTTTCTTTCTCAATTGAACTGATAGGAAGATGCTCTTTAGTAATCCAAACAATGAGAAGGGGGAAATAACTGGTTGAACATTGGTGTATTGTTATTCTTGCAGTTCAGTTTTGGAATGTTAAGATTTATATTTAGCCTTTCCAGATCAGTGTTTTAAAAAGCGCGCCTGAGGCGCAAGGCGAGGCGTTTAGAAGAAAGCCTTCGACCACCAAGGCGGCGACGAGTTGGTAAAGAACCGTTGAACATGGAGGTGGGAGCAAGAGGAGAATCAAGTTGGTAAAGATTGAGAGCATGTCCAACAAACCAGAAAACTATCCAAGCCCCGATTACGATGAAAATCGAAGCATATGCAAACTTGTTGTGCCAGAACAACAAACCCTTCTCTCCAACGTAAAACTCTAAAGCCTTCTCTGTCATGCTCATTTCCTCCCATTTCTTCGGAGCTGCTTCAGCTGCAGCCTTTGAGTTCATCCTTATCGGCGCTGCTGTTGGTACAATAAACTTTGGGCAACCGTCGGCGGCGATGAGGAAAAGGTAGGTAATTACATGTTGGCGAAGACGAGGGTTTCAGAAGAAGAGGGTTGGTTGGTAAGGGTGATTTTGAAGCAAGGGATTGGAGAATGCTGCTATCTATTTTCACTTCTGAAGTATGGATATGCTTATCCTTTTATATTTCCTGTGGGGTGAATGAAATATCCTATCTCCTCTCTCTTTACAACCTATCACTTCTTGCTATGTCATCAACCTTAGTTTTGAGTTTTTTTCTCAAATGTGCATTTTTAGCATTTAAACTTTATGTTTGCTTAGATACCCAAAATCAAATTCAAGTTGATTTATTTAATTTACATGAACTTTATTTTTTAAAATTTTAAATTCATAATAATGATTCTTTTAATCAATTTGAAGTTCAAACTCAAGAGATAAAGGAAAGGGTGTTACCCAAACCTCCACTCATAGAAGGCCCTCTATTGGACTAAATTTGATTGATAAAGACGATGAAGAGATAGAACAAGATATTGGACTTTTCAAAGATGATGGGGAGGAGTAGGTGCTTGGGATTGATGTTGATGACGATGATGATGAAGATGAGTTTTAGGCATTTTGATTATTGATGATGTTTTTTATTTGTCTTTTTGAGATACAATATGACATATACTACTTGATGTTTTTGCTTATTAAGTTAATTATTAAGTTGTTTTGTGTTTAAGGTATGTTTATAAAATATTTACAAATGTTTTGTAAAATTAAGCGTCTCGCGTACGTGAATCCCTCGCCTCAAAGCGCCTTAAAAATTGAGGCTCTCGGGTAGCTAATCGCCTTAGGGTGCCTCGCGCCTTTTAAAACACTGTTCCAGATACTCTGATTATATTTTAGTTTTCTCTAGTTCTAAGTGGCTTCTTGCAATCTAATTCTCTTGTTCTAACTTTTCTTATAGAAAAGTGAATGGCCTATGTAATATATCCTTGCACTTTCTTTTTTTTTTGATAAAAGATAGGCCTCATTAAAAACCCCATTCATATCCTACATGCTATATCAGAAACATGAAGGACATAGGAAGGAGGAAAAGAGAACCTCTGAATTTTATTACTCTAAATCATAACATACAGCTAATTCCTAGTCATATACTGCTTGCCATAAGACTTAAAAACATAAAACAAACTGCAGCAGTAAATCCATAAACCTAGAAACTCAGTAAGCACAACAACTAAAGAACCTCAGCACAATACCACTTGATCAACCAATACCAGCTTTTGCTAACTCATCCACTTCCCAATTAGCAGCTCTCAAAATATGTCTTGAAATTATGCCATTTCCTTCCACATTGGTAGTTACACCTAACCAAGGTCTGAAATAAAGAGGTACAAAGATCTGGATTTTTAATCCACTTCAGAGCTGTGGTGGAGTCTGATTCCAAGATAATCATCTGTCTTGGAGAAGAGCCTACTTCTTCAATGAGAGTCAAACCTCTGTTGATCGCCATTAACTCAGCAAGAATAGGTGGACCACCTACAATTTTTCAGAAAATGAACCAAGTAACAAACCCCTGTCATCCCTAATCAAACCACCTATTCCACCTTTGTCCCATCCCTTAGTCATTGCCCCATCAACATTAAGTTTAAGGAAACCTTCTGAAAGAGGTACCCATTTTGTAGGAGGAGAACACCCTTTTTTCTGTCTTCCATTCGAATATGCCAGTTTTAGATCCCTAACTAGAGAATCGAAAGGAACTTTAACATCCTTAAATCTCACCCCGAACCAAGTAGCAATTCTGAATCTAACAAGAAAAAACAGCACTGCAAAATCCACCTTATTCTGGAAAATAATCTTGTTTCTGCATTTCCAAACCGAACACAGCATCGCCCTTGGAATGAATTTCCAAATAGTTGAGCTAGGAACTAAATCATCCCACAAAATTAAAAAGTCAATCAACTTCTTAGGAACCACAAAAGAAACGTTCCAGTCCCTCAAAAATCTAGACCACATAAACCAAACCACCCCACAATGCAAAAACAGATGTGAAATTGACTCATCGCACTTCCCACACATTGGACAAGAAAGATGATCAATCCCAGTGACACCTCTCTTCAACAGCTCCTCCTTCACTGTTACTCTTTGATGTGTAACTTGCCAAACGAACGCTTCTACACGAGGAGGTGCAACCCCTGCCCAAATGTGCCTATCCCAAATACCCTCTTCTCCATCATTGCCCTCCTGATCATAGAATTTTGTGATGCATGATTTAGCTGAAAAACAACCCTCCCCATTACCAAGCCATATCCAACAATCTTCCTCTAATAATGAAAGAGTTTTGTTGTTCAACAAGGAAATAAGCCACAACAATTGTTCAACCTCCCAATCCACCAAATTCATTCTCATTTGTATATCCCAAACCCAACCGGAGTTACTGTTCATCCTGAATTTTGCCACCTTACCCCTTTTGTTATTCGATAAAGCAAAAAGTCTCGGAAACCATTACTTCAGAAGAACCATACCCAGCCAAATATCCTTCCAAAACTCCACTGATTCCCCATTTCCAGCTCTTAAATACATATATTTCCTTATGCAATCCCCAAAATCATCATATGAAAAGAAATTATTTACCACACCTCTCCATATCCAAAAAGCTCTAGCGGAGCAATTGTTCCCAATCGTCATAGAGTTCAGATCCAAGTTATTCACACTACACATCACTACCTTCCACCATGATTTCTTCTCCGATGCAAATTTCCAAACCCATTTCCCCAATAAAGCACTGTTCAAAAGCACCAAATTCAGAATCCCTAAACCTCCCAATTTTTTTGGCTTACACACCAACTTCCAATTCAACCAATGAATATTCTTTTTGTTTCTGTCGAGCTTCCCCTTAGAAAATCTGCCATAATCGAGTTTAACTTGTTGGAAACATTGATTGGTATCCGAAAAATAGATAAGAAATATATGAGGAGAGAGCACAAAACGTATTTCACCAAAACAACCCTTCCATCCAGCTAATGCACTGTAGAATTTCTGCACAACAGGCTCCCATAAAGCAAAAGAGTTCCTCTTGGCCTCCAACGGTAACCCTAGGTACTCTGAAGGAAAAGAACCCTTAGAACATCCAATTTCCTTTGCCTAAGTATCTAGAACCTCCTCCAACACATTAACTCCATAAATTTTGCTCTTTGTTAAGTTTAATTTCAACCCCACCAATAATTCAAAAATCAACAAAACCCTTCTAACATTCAACAAATCACGAATTGTTGCATTGCTGAAAATTATAAGGTCATCCGCGAATTGTAAATGTGATAGCATGAATGAGCGATTATGGGAACCTAGTTCGAAACCTGAAAACAGCCCCTTGTCCACTGCTTTTGCCAACAACAAATGTAACAACTCCCATTCCAAATTAAACAACATCGGAGATAACGAACATCCCTGCCTTAGTCCTCTTGAAGGTTGAATTTTCT